CCCCCCCCAACTCACTGCTTCGTCTTGTATGCATGTGTTAGAGTATTCACGCGTGTACGTATGTATTCACCATGCCACAGTCAATTTTTCTTTTTGCAAATCAATTATTTTTTTAAACGTATTTTATCTATCAACATAGCTGAGCGACATTCCTTGTTCGCCACAGAGCGTGGAAAACGTGAAAAATAATTAAAATTGAATATACAGTCAAAGTTACACTCTTTCTTTCGTTTCCCAATCTCAATAACGTGTGTGCGTCTCATTACAGGAGTTCTGTGCCAAGAAATCTGAAAACGAGGACGCGCTCCTGAAGCTGCTACAGCGTCCAGTGGACAGACTGAAGATGTACCAGCTGCTGCTGAAGGTAACGGTCCCAACAGAAGTTTTATAGCAAGCGCACACTGTTGTCGTTTCACCTCTCAAACATAACGTATACTCCTCCTTCCATTGCACAAAACCTTCAACGTATATTTTGTCTCCGCATTCTGCATCTTAGACACAATGCACAAAAGCAATCGTATTCATTTGATTCAGATGGGGCATGTCAGGTTCTCCATCATGAATTGGGGAAAAGCTTCCATAATGGCACAATTCGATCGAATTCGACAAAGTCCGACTTTGACCGTCAAAATCAAAAGCGTTTTTTTTTCTATTTGCCAGTCGCACCTGTCTTATGTGCAAAAGTCTTCTTCGTCATCATCGTCCTTCTCCCTCTTCAATCTCTACCATCATCACATTTTCATCACTATCCTTACCCCCTGATCCTGGTTCTCCACTACTACCATAACCACTAAATCCTACTCCTTTTACTTAAAAAAGACTAAGTACCAGAGACTGTTTCGCTCGCGCCCGTTTATGTGTGTGTGTTTGTGTGTGTGTGTGTGTGTGTGTGTGTGTGTGTGTGTGTGTGTGTGTGTGTGTGTGTGTGTGCGTGTGCGTGTGCGTGAGTGTGTGTGTTTGTTACTTAATCTACATATACCCGAGCAAACCTTTGAGTGAGTTCATTTTTGTTGATTTACTGTATGTTAGTTTGTCACATATACAAGAAATCATAGCATATTATTAGAAAAAAAGAGATTCCTGAAAAGTACTAACATAGCATCTTATTTTATCGTTCTCGGCCTTCCCGTCCGCCCTACAATTATCCCCAGGACGTCCTTCGCTACTCTGTGAGGGCCGGAGAGGACTGCAGAGAGGTGGAGGCAGCAGTAGCTATGCTCATCGCTATCGAACGAGCTGTCGGTCATGGCAAGTTGCTTCCCTTGTTGGAGGGGCTGGAAGGGGACATAACTCAACTGGGAACTCTTCTCAGACATGTAAGTATGATTCCTTCCCTTGGGAAAAATGTTTCTGGCGTAAATGTTGTAACAGATAAAAAATAATGATTTTCTTATCTGTCGTAATCTCTTAAAGCGGTATTACATCGCAAATGCTTAATCTGTCAAATGCAATGTACCTGTTATGTCTTCTATCTATATTATGTCTTTGTATAACTGTCTTTCGGTCTCTCTCTCTCTCTCTCTCTCTCTCTCTCTCTCTCTCTCTCTCTCTCTCTTATCCCATCCTCTATTTCTTTCTCTCCCGTTTTTCTCATTCTAATATTATCAAAATGTCTGACTAGTTGTTAATATCCCCCATCTCTTCATTTGCACCCCTCTCTTATGCATTCCTTTAAGAGCGTAATTTATAATGTCGATTTACAAAGCAAGCAAACTAACGAACAATTTATAAAATAAACAAACAGGCTCTTGTTGAAGGCAGTTACATGTTTTGTTCCAGGATGACTTCCTCGAGTGGGACGGTGACGTCACCACCAGTAGGGTCAAGGACAGACATGCCTTCCTGTTCTCGGACAAAGTCATCCTGACTAAAAAGAAGAAACCTGACAGTGCTTCCGATCAGTTGGGGTTTTCCTACCGCGCCGCTATAGATGTGAGTCCCATTTAGAATGAGAGAGAGCGAGAGAGAGAGAGAGAGAGAGAGAGAGAGAGAGAGAGAGAGGGGGGGGGGGGGGGGGAGA